ATACAAAAGCTCAAGGTAGAAATATCAGAGCCACTCTGCCCGGGCAATTTCGCAAGATAAGGGTCTGTATCACTACATATGGGCCCTCACAGGGCTGGCCTTTTGGCTGTGCAGAGCAGGATTCAGCAATGCCCCAGAGAGAGAGAGAGAGAAATAAGACCCCCCACTCCTTGTTACTCTATAACCGAGACCCTATGTAACTGGTAAAAGCAAGTTCTCATAATGCATTCTGAATAGGCTAGTAGGATATGAAAATATGGTCTAAGCCCTGCTTTGCTTTTATGCAGATTACATGCTTGTGATACATCTACAGATTGAAATAGTTTTCCATACTGGAACGTTAGTATTTCCAAATAATTTATTTATGTGCAATAGCAAGGCATTATCCTTCATTAAATGTACAGATCCTCAAGGCTACAGAAACATTAATTCACAAATAGAATGTGTAACCTCATTGCCAAAATGACAGGTACAGTTATTTTAGCCTCCTCATCTAAAAAGCAACCTTGCATTTCTAGCTGTCATTGCAAACTTTTTATAAACTGATTACTTATTAATGTCCATGTGTAACAGTAAAGAAAGAGAAAACTACAGTAAATGTTACCGTAGATTTACATTATAACAAGGTTTATAGAGTCATTGTAAGTCTCAGTGTATTCCAACAGAAGTCTGGATCTCTTCCAATTTAATTTTCTGAAGTTAGAATTTGCAGCTGGGTCACTCCTGGTGTAATCTATGAAATGTATCTCCTCAGGCTGTGAATTGGAACAACAGCATCCCAGCTGTCACTGTAACCCATCATTTATAGCACTTGGGGTCTGAGGGCAAAACATCAGAATCACTTTGTGGACACAACAACATAGCTAGCTTCATAAATTTTGTTGCAAGGAGCAATAATCAATACTTCATGTTTAATGACACAAAACTGAAATTAGTATAGATTTTACGTCTTCTACTCTTCCAAATTATACAAACATTACTCGCCCCTTTTGTAGTTGCCTTATTACAGCTTCCATAAAGAATGTTCAATGATATTTAATTGAATGATTGAATGGTCAAAAATGTCACAACCAATTTTTTTAGTTTGTCTTCACCCTTAGGTTAATATAAAATGATGTCAAACACCAAAAATGATTTATGTAAGTAATGCAGGTTTTGTCACCCATGGCAATATATAAAGTCAATTGCAAATTGTTTTCACATTCTAAATTACCTTGCAATGCTCTGGGATATACTGAAAACAAAATGACCAGTGGAGTGATTCAGGAAACTAAAAGGTTATCTTTTAGGTTCAATCGTACTTCAAAGGCAGGCAATTTTGAAGGAGTTTTTAATTATATCACATCAGAAAAGGATATTCTTGTAGGAGAGTAGAATTAGAAAGTAAGAATAAAACAGACGTTTCATGGTTGGGCCAGTTTAAATTGCTGGCTAAGTGGCAGGAAACAGTAAACTTTTCTAAATCTTGCACAGCAATTTGGCAGTTACTGTAGGTCAACAATAGTGATTATTCCGATTAGAGATCCAGAGGGGGGAAATTTGGAGCAAAAAACTTGCCATCTTAACAAATCTACTTTATGCATAAAACATACTTTTGCAGTAATAGTGCTTCCAAGGCCACCAGGAAATGAAAGCTGCATTAGTAGTATATCAGCTACTGATTGATCTTGTTTCATGTTATACAGCACACCGTCTATGCACTCTTGTATAAGATTAAAAAGTGCCATCTAAAATTCCTCAGTTCCACAATATAGGCTTTATTTGAGAAGGCAGAGCGTATGGATGGCTGAGCTGTTGTGTTAATAAATATGGCAATGGATTTACTGCAAACCAAAATGTTTAATTTATCCTCAGATCAGCTAAGATAAGGAAGGGGTCTATATAATGCAAATTTCCTCATTTTTATCTTTTTAATTACTTTAACCTTCCTGACCGTGAGAAAATCTTCTGTGCTAGCAGGAGAGGTAATTCACTTTAAATCCTTGCTTGACCCTCATTGGCTTATTTTTTTAGCTTTTTTTATTCTAAAATTAATGAGCTAAGAGATGACATGAAACCACATGTTGGCTTCTTGAATGGCCGTCAAGTGCAGTACATATAATGAATTATCAAATGATTAATTCACAAAAACAAACTGCAAGACGCATGAAGCTGCAGATGGAGTAGTTCTGCGGTTTTTGAATAACCATGTTTTTAATAATTTTATATTATGAGGGTAGAATATGTTGTTTTATTTATTTATTTAATGACGAGTAGGTCAGTAGAGGCTCCGGACACTGGAACTTACTTTCCCCAGAGTAGATCACAAACAGTGGTTGCATTTAGCTGTCTGGGAAGAAGGTCTCACCATGCAAAATGGGGCAATAGGCCACATCCAGCTCCCCAAAGAGGGGTATGCAAACAGTTGCATGAGGTACTCACCCCAGTGAAAGAATCCGGCATCTAATAATGAGAACCCACTGCAAGAGGGACAAATGGGAGCCCCATGACGTTAGTTGTATCCTCTAAGAAGTTCCCACTGATGACTTCCAAAGCGTCACTCAGAAACATAAGAATTGAGTTGGGTGAAGCCCTTTCACCGCAAGCAACAGAAGAGACAAGCTCCTTCTCCCACAAACAACTCCACGCACTTTTCCACTCCACCCCTCACTTATGACCGAAATTTCCCAGGAAAACAAAAGTAAAACTGACATTTTATTGTCCTTCAGATCTCTCTTTAAGACTCGGTTCTGCCACGTCGCCTACAAAAACTTGCCGGTTACTAATGGCAAGAAGACTAGTAGTGAGCGATGTTGTGTACAAAGTTAGTCTATATGAAAACACGCTCCTATGGGTCTGTCTTAGTTTTCATACATCACTGTTTGTTTCATCCATCTGTAGCATCTTGTCATTATCCAAGATTGTAAACTCTTTCAGCAGGGACTCTTTGTACTACACATCTGTACAGTGCCTAGCACAGTGAGCCTGCTCCTCCACTCTGTCCCTAAATCACTGATTGGGGCCTCTTGGTCTGTACTGTACTGTAATACAAATACTCAATATCAGTGCTGCTCCCTAGAATTTCTATGCACTACTAGATTAACTCTATCTCTATATGGGAGTTGACTAATAGTCATCTCTGTATCCCTTTCATTGTAAGAAAGCAGTGTTTGGTGTTATAGGGAATCTTTTTGCATTATGTTCTGAGATTTCATTCCCTGTCAGGGAGGAGTAAAGGAATATGGCTGTACTCCAGCCTAGACCCTAGAGGTGCTTTGGATTGCTTTTCTAGGGGACCTTGGTGACCAATAGCCTTGTCCTGAGCTGCCCTAAACCTTATTCAGCAGTTCATTGTTACTTAGATTTATGTTTCAAGCAAAACAAAACTATACACAATCAGGCTTAAAAATCCTGCTTTGAGTCATATTTGTAAACCAATTTTCTCACTGGTTACTCATCGGTTTTATTAAAAGTGAAGGAACTTTAAAAATTTAAGTGGCCTTTTTCCTTTTGTCACGCCTTTTGGACAATAAAAACCTGCCAATCAGATTAAGTTTCTGCTTCTCAAACAGTAGCTCAGTGTTGTGATTTATGGGCTAGGTTGAACTCCTATTGAATTCACGGGGAAAATTCCTATTAACTGGAATGGGAGGTGGACTTGAGCTATGTTTGGATTTAAACATTCCCTGACATGTTTTTGCTAAGAGAGATCTAAGGAATTTCCTCTACAAAAAACAGGGACTAATGCTGACACCACAGTAAAGATGTTGGGCTTAAAGTCCCAGCTAGTGATTCCATTAATTATGAGATCTTAGCATTGTTCAGTGGTAGAACAAAAGGAAATGGCTGAAAGTGAGAACTCTTGGCAGTTTATTGTCCATGCCTACTTTTTCTTAATCAGAAAAGATAAGTACACAACAATAAGGACATACCTTCAGACTAGTTTTTGAAGGTTCAGTACCTATTTTTCAGGGAAAGTCCTGGGCATGTTGAAGAATTTACTGGTTTCCCCTCAGTTGCCATTAGGTGTTTGTTTTGGATTACAAAACATACCATGCTGGAGTAATAGTTAAACAGTTTCATCCAGGCTGGGGGAATATGCCTAACTCTAAATTAGGTGCTCACGTAACAAGCCCAAAGTTTCCCAAATAGTGGATTATGAAGGGAGCATTCAGTGTCATAGTATTCTTTTATACGTACAGAATAAAAACACAACACAGTGAGGGAAGAGATGACTTTAAAAAGAAAATGGGGAAAAAAACCCTCCAATTTGTGCAAGAAATATCTGTTAAAGCTTAAACTCTTTCAGAGCTGACTAAGTTTCTCCAGTTTTGAGGGAGTTACAGTGCATTTCTGATAAACTGTTTCCTTGAGGTGTGTGTGTGGGGAGGCTTGTTTTGTTTTGACATTAAGTTGTGCACACTTTGGGCGCGTGTATTTATCAGAGTTGTTGATTCTGTGACCCTGGCCATTACAGTATGTGATACTTTCTGTAGCTAGGTATTGGCTATTGTGCAATATAGGCTAAGATAATATATAGGCGACTACCTTTAGCTTTTGTGAATTTGGCATTTGGAACTCCTTGAGGCTTAAGGTATATGATTCATTGGAGGTGGTGGTTCTGTCTATTTTGCTCACTTATTGAAGTACCTTTGGATGCATTTGTAAATAGAAACATATGTGTGCTCTCGTGTGTGCAAAGCTGGGTGACCTTGGGCAAGTCACTTCACCTCTGTGCCTCAGTTTCCCCATGGATAGCTAGTGATAATGATACTGACCACCTTTGAAAGGTACTTTGAGATAAATAAATGTGGTTAGAAATCTAAGAATAGGTGTTTAGATAAAGATTGGGGCAGGAATTGCTGTTTACTATATGTTTGTACAGTGCGTAGCACAATGCGGTCCTGATTTGGGTGAGGCCTCAGGCACTACTGCAATATAAATGTTTGTTAATAATAATAATAATAATAAAGTCAGCATGTTGAAATCTGTTATTTCTTTCCTTGCAGGAAGAACCCAAAAGGCTGCAGCATACCTTAGAACAAGTTAGTGATGACAAATATTTACTTGAAAGGTACGTATGAAAAGATTTTGGAGTGGTTCGCATAGCATTTTCACATAATATAGTAAAAAATTGCTGTCACTCAAGCAATATTTTTTTAGTATAACGATTAGCGCAGTGGACAAGATAGTTTGAAAGAAGTATATTGTTTGCTACAACTATTGTCAGGACTGACAGTACCGGGAGCAGGTGTTTGAACTGTACAAAGTCGAACAGCAAAACACAAAAGGGGACATAGCAAAGAGTAATCACTTGCTTTAAATATGTACTCTTAATATAAGTTTGCTCTGTAACTATTGCCTTCTGAGGCATACTTGCAGAGGGTTTTTTTGTTTTTGTTTGGGTTTTTTTGTGTGAACATTTTATATTTCACTTGGAGAGATGCTGAAGAATTTTTATGGCTTTATATCTCACACCTAAATATTTGCTGATTTTTATATAAGGGAGGATAACTTCTGCTGGTTAAATGATGTAATTGGGTGTCAAACTCTCAAAATAAAAATGGATTTCACACTTGTGGAGTTCATCTTGTGAACTCGTCTCATGCCCAGTGTCCTCGCTCATGCAATTAGTCCCATCCAAGCCAATATCCCATTGTGTGAGTTCACCTCTGTTCTTGAGATCTGCAGTTTTATCTTCCAGCATATTTATGGTTTTCTTAAATTTATCACACTTTGCAGCATAAATTCCTTTGTCAACTTCTGTTGATAAGAATCTCTTTTCTTATTCTTGCATGACTTTTGCTACTGTAATTAATTTGCTTTATAATATTTCCATTTTACTTGCCTGATTTTCACGTATAGCCTCTGGGATGGAAGTTAAATTAGCAGGAATATGTTACACTTGTCACTGGTTTTTATGTCCATCAGTTTCTTCACCAGGTGTATTTGTCTTTGGTGCTATATAGCATCTGAAACTGAAAGGTCTAGTGTTGAAGTCTGCATGCATCTGATTGCAGGATAGGGACTGTAATTTGGAATTCAATTTTTTTGTTTTGTTACCCTTCTAAGTAGCGTTGGATGCTGTGTCGTTCCCCCGCCACCCATGGCATTTTTAAATAAGTAGCTCTGCTATGTACATGTCAAAATGTCTGAATATAGTTTCATAATGATTATAAAAATGTCAGCTGAAATAGATTAAAACATTTTTTATAGCCATCAGATTGCTATGGATGTGGAGAATAATATCGAAAAATATCCTATCAACTTGCAGCCCCTGGAATCAAAAGTGAAAATGTAAGTAATTTTCTTCCAGACGTTCTTCCAGGTGTTGACTAACTTAAGCACATCAGTGGTTCTGCTGAACTGGTTAATGCTGTACTTGTTACAATTGTACCAATTTTGTATTTAACCATGTAAAATTGAGGGACTCTTTTAGAACCTGCCTGATAACTGTATGTAAAGGGAATTTGTACATCCCTAGAGGGAAAGAGAAAACAGGGACAGGGAAGAAGGCCCCATTGTATCATTTTTGAAACCTTAGAAAACTTAGGGTGCTTAAGTTTAAGTTGCCTCAAGTAGCCTCACTCGACCTTTTATGTGACTTCCAAGATACAATGCAAGTTTACATAAAGAACATTATTCATAACTACATTTCACTTTCTACTGGAAAGCAAAGCTGAAATGTTTTTAAGATATTAAAATATTAATACAATATTAAAATATTAATGGGACATGAGGTTTCAAATTAAAATCAAGTCAGTATCATTTAGTGATGCAACTATTGACTAGATGCAAGAATATATATATTTACAGAGAATTTTCTAGAAGATAGGTATGTCTGGAAAATTTAATATCCTCCCTTTACTGAAAATGGAAAGTGGTGTGTTACGGATAAATGCATCTGCATGTAAACGTAATGCACTAAACCATAAAACTGATTGAAGTGAACAAGATATAAATGTTTCATGTATGAAGTCATGAGTTTTAAATCATAATTTTTAACTACTTGAATAACACTCAGATTTTGAAGTCTTAGTAGATTCTCCAAACATTTTCCAAATCATTGTATAAAGTCAAAACAAATGTACTTAGGTGTCTAATTCCAAAGTATCTACAGATTGGTGATACCATAATGGACACTATTTTGGGCCTAACCCGGGTTTCTAAGGACCTGGGTGTGACAGGGTCCCCGGGGTGCAACCTGGACTGTGGGAGTGTTGAGCTCTCCAAACCCAGCAACCTAGGTTGTCCCCCACACTGTGATGCTAATGTCAAGTTCCAAGCCTCTGGCAGGCACTGCTCTTACACAGCCATCCACAGGCAGGGACACAGCCAACTGAGTTACTCATGAACCATCAATAGGGAGGCTCCAGCCAATTCCCCCCAGCTCCCCACCCTTGCACCGCTGAACTGCACCATCTTGCACTGGTCAGAAGCCTGGCCAGTGTAAGCTCATTCGCCACTTCCTCAGTGTGGAATGGACATACACTAGGCTGTGTCGTCTGAGCTAAGATTCCTCAAGCACTTCATCCAAACCACAATTTTAGGTAAAATATAAAACAGTTTTCTTCACAACAGAAAGATAGATTTTAAGTCCTAACTTGCAGGCATAGAGATCAGAGTTGGTTACTTAAACTGAATTTATTTTTGTTTCTTAAGTTCTAACTTAAATAGATTTAGCAAGTGTAGTGGGGTGGCTGCCCCATTCCTGGAGAACAGGAGTTAAAAGCAGCCAAGCAAGGCTGATTGGGGTTTCTAGAAGGGTCCTAACCCTTGCCAATGATGAGTGGCCATTACAGACTGCAGTCTGCCCCAGTGAGCGGGGGCTAGATGATGACTGGCAGTAGCCACTGAGGCAAGGTGAGTTTAGAGGGTTGGGGGTTAGACCCAGAGAGTAGGGTGCTGCTGGGGTAGATCCCTGGGGTAAAAGGGCACCAGGAGGACATGGGGCCTGAGCAGGTGAGGCACCGGCCAACAGAGGGCACTCCAAGTGCTGAAAGAGCTAATTCCTAAGACGACCAGCAGGAGGCGCTGCACCAGTGAGTCTTCGCTTTGCTACACATGGTGCAGAATGTGGGCACACAGTTGCCCATGATACAAGGGGCAGGCCAAGGACTGTGGGACTATTGCCCGGATCCGAGAGCTGAGGAACTGACGGTAGAGAAAATGGTGGACTGGTTCTGGAGGGCTTGTGTGGCCCAGCTCATCGAGCAGCAAGCGTGACTGCTTCAGCTGCTGCGGGGGAGGGCACGTGGACCTCATCGGGGGCCAGGCACCTGGGGCTGGAGGCCAGTGCCTAAAAGCTGTTATGCCTGTGGGCGAAAGGGACACTTTAAGCGGGAGTGCCCCTACTGGGATGGAGCAAGGAGGCCCCACCCAGAAAACGCACCCCCTGTGAAGTCAACAGGGGGTCAGCAGGGGGGCTGCAGCTTGTTGGGCCTGTTGGAAACTGGGGCACATGAAGAGGGAGTGCCCTCAGGAGACTTGCAGGGCCCAGGCTAGCCCTGAGGAAAGGGCTAAGCTTGAAACAGACAATGGGAAGGCCGTGGCCAAGGGAAGGCACAAGAGGTGCTTCCAGTGCCACGAGGGCCATATAAAAAGGCACTGCCCCCTAAGAAAAAGGGGGAGTGCCGACCAAGGGGCCCAGTCCAAGCCTGACCAGGCTGGAGGGACAGGGAAGGCTGGAGCCCCAAACAAGAAACTGTCAGGGGCAAAGAGGCCCCAGACAAACCAGGGAACCCACACTGGAGCCGGGAGGGCTACGTTGGGAACCCAAATAGATAAGGGAACCCGCGTGAGAGCTGAGAGCGCTATGGTGAGGACCCAGACGATAGAGGAGGGAAGCAGGTTGCTCCCCTTGATAGAAACCCTGCGGCAGGAGAGAGACCTCCTGCGGGCTTGGCTGAGAGGGAAGCTGGGGAGATAGAGACACCCCCCTCCCCGCCAGTGAGCATTCTTGAGGAGGGTGTGTAGTGGGGCGGCTGCCCCACTCCTGGAGTTAAAGGCAGCCAAGCTAGGCTGATTGGGGTTTCCCCTGGGAGGGGAGTCTCTCTCTCCAGCCCTGGAGGGAGAAGGGCTAGCTACCTGAGAGGAAGATACATGAAGTGGAGCAGTACTGGGGAATAGGGCAAGGGAGCTGGGGAGCTCCAGCCTGGTAAAACCTCAGGCTGCAGGCCTTGTTGAAGGCCTACAGAGGTACTGGTGCTGCAGAGCTGCAGCCTGGGAATAGGCAAAGGCAGCAGGTCCTAACCCCTTGCCAATGATGAGTGGCCATTACAGACTGCAGTCTGCCCCAGTGAGCGGGGGCTAGATGATGACTGGCAGTAGCCACTGAGGCAAGGTGGGGGTTCCCCTGGGAGGGGAGACCCAGAGAGTGGGGGTGCTGCTGGGGCAGAACCCCGAGGTAAAGGGGCACCGGGGTCCAGGAGGGACCCGGGGCCTGAGGCAGGCGAGGCACTGGCCAATAGAGGGCGCTCAGAGTGCTGAAAGAGCTAATTCCTGAGACGACCAGCAGGAGGCGCCGCACCGTTGAGTCGTCGCTTCGCTACAGCAAGATTTTAATCAAGCAGTGTCTCATCCTAACAGATGGTACAGGCAGCCTACGTTTCCTCAATACACAGACTGGAGCTCTTCCAACTTGGGACCAAACTTCCCCACTTCAAAGTCTTTTTCTTCCAGATGTTCTTCCAGGTGTTGAGATGAGGGAGGAGGCCAAGTGATGATGTCACTATCTCTCTTTTATACCTTCTTCCAGCTGCTAGAGTGATCCTCACTGTGACACGGGGCTCAGTCAGTCCCCATTGGTCAAGCAGTCTCCATTGGGTACATGCCTTCTGTAAGGAGCTTCTGGGAGAATGCATTGTTTTCTTGATGGGCCATCAACACCCATCTGACCAGTGATAGGTGCTCCTTTGTCCATTCTGAAAGGCTGACTGTGAGTGTTTCCCAACCTCACAACATATTTCAGTAGTACTGATAGGGCCTTCAGTGGCAGAGTAGCCTAGTGGCCGGATTGTTGGTTGAGGGGAGGGTTGTTGGGGGACTTGATCCCTCCTTCTCTCTCAGGTCCTGGCCCAGGGTCCTGTGTCGCTCTACCCGTAAACAGGGGAGATGGGTCTTTCTCCCAGCCGTGAATGGGAGTTGAAGGCGTGTTTTCCTGGCCTGCTCCCTGTGCAAGCCCTTTTACTTTTGGGCGTGGCCCCGCTAGTCCAGTTGCCCCACAGTTGGGGCTTATCTGTAGGTTCCCCTTGGCAGAGGAAGATTTACTTGCCTCCAGTGGCTGCATTGGCAGGCAGGTTGCTGGTCTGTGCCTTCAGGCAGGCATACAGAGAGCTTCTGCCAGGCTCCCTTCCCTCCAGGCCTGGCATTGGCTGCAGGTATAATGGGGGAGGGCTAGCTGAACCCATAGATGTTCTTTAACCACTGCTGTGCCCGGCTGCAGTCTCTCTGCTCCTTCACAAGTACATATAGCAATACTTCATATCTTCACATACAATAATAACACATGCAATTCAACAGGATATTAAGGTTCAACAGATCAACACTTCTTAAATGATACCTCACAAGGTATGCATTGTATCGAACATATCATAATTGTATCACAGTAGTGAATATGGGATTCCAGGGTGCTATGTTAATGGATTATTCAAAATGCCTGTTGTTTTAGGGTAACTGTCCCCCATTTGTGACTGCACCCAGTTACAAATGACACCAGGAGGATCTTTGTTCTAACAAAAATAATGAGCATGTCTTCATTTTTAGAAGACATCTTGTTTTGAAATGAACCATTTCTTTTGCAATTTGGACTCCATTATTTTAAGACTTGCACCTGGAAATAGATGGTAGAAAGGTTTACTGGGGAGTAACACAGAAGACGATAGAAAATGATGAATTGATGAGATTGGCTGAGGTGTAGAGATGAAAAATAATGTGACCCATGAAAATTGCAACGTCCTGGACCATTCAGGGGGATGGAGAGAATAAACAGAAGACATACTAGGCTTAATATTAATTTGGGATGCTGTATAAATAGACAAAAATGAATAAATATGGAAGTACGGGAGTATTGCAGATGGAATTTGTAGAACAAGTGGATGGTCAAAAATCTATAATATAATATAATACTGCATCTTTAAATATTTGCTACTCTGTAAATAAGAAGAACCTGAACCTAAACTCTGGCATTTATACATTCTTCCTGATGGAAGCATGGTACCATACTGAGCATGTGACACGGCAGTCCACCCAGTGTCTTGGGAAATAATCCAAAGCATGTCAGCAATGATTGCATGGCTTTCTCGGTGCTACCACTCATCTCATGTGACACTCCCATGTTTGGCAGCCCTGTCACTTATGCCTGCAGCTCAGCCTGAATATCATACATTTGGTGGAGCTTAGAGGAAGTGCTGCAGCTCCATCTGAGGCCACTGTGAAGCCAAGCTTCATGGTTGCCTCTCCCCTGGCTGATTTGTTTCAAAAATATCAACATGAAATATTTCATTTTTCCATATTTTAGGTGGATATTTTTACCAAAACAATTTAGCAAAATCTATATGAATTTATTAAATATTTTGGTGTTACTGAATTATATGCTGTTTGGTTTGGTTTAACAAAAAACATTTTGATCAATTTTTTCCCCCTAGGTGTAGTTATGACAAAGTAGATCCTGGAAATGTCCTTCCTTGCCAGTCTCTCCAACCCATTACTGCATGGTACTCCATAAAATACAATAAACAAAGGGCTATTTCACAGTGGTTTCTATCCCTACATTTTTCTCAATTGGATATAAACTGGGCAGTGGGGGGAAGTGACATTAGATGTGAAGAGAGGTAAGTTAAGGAAATGCTCCCAGGACAAAGTGAGCAAAGGTCTGTAGGGCCCTTGACCCACATTCTAAATACAGTCATATAGTGGTTGGTTTTTAATTTCTGGGAACAGAAATTTAGAGTATGGTGAGGCTGCGAATAATTCACAACAGGAATGTAGTCCTGCCTTCCTATACCCTTTTCTGTTACTCCCCAGTGAATCTTTTCCACGTCTCTCTATAAATGTGCAAAGTAATGGGTGAGGGGGAGAAAATTCAGCTCTTTGGAGGTGGATGTTTGGGAGGTTTGGTCTGCAGTCTTTGGGTGGTGGGGGGAGTGTTTTCTGCTGGAATTTAAACAAATAGCCAGAAAATAAGGTAGGTCTTTTTTCTTCTCCTAATCTAAAATTCTGATCCAACAAAGCATTTAAGCACATGCTTAAGTTTAAGCATTATGAATAGTTCCATTGTCTTCAGTGGGATTCCCATATGCTTAAAGTTTAGCATGTGCTTAAGTGCTTCGCTGACCTGGGGTCTAAACATGGAGTTCAGGAGAAAGGAATGCAAGATAGAAAACTCTGGCAGCAAAAGGTGAATAAACTATGGGGATCTAACAGTTTTTTTGCCTAGTGTGCATTTTTCCACCTTCTCATTTTTCTTCCACTTTAAAATTCCATGATGGGGATGGAATTAAAGATAAATTAAGCTGTTTGGCTTTCTAACTGTAGACAAGACACTTTGCTCCTTTGTTAGTACCAGTACTTAAGAATTCCTCCAGACATTGCAAAAGATGTATTGTCAATAAGGAAATGGTATACAGCTTACTTCTCTCTGCCTCTCCTGTTATCGAACAAAAATCAGGATTTTCTAGAAATAGGAGTAATTTCTTTGGTCCTCTGATCATCACTGTTTCTTGTAGGCACTGATTTGTAGGCAACTGAATGTTCATATCTAGGCAAAATTATACCCAGCGCACTCTGTGTTCTGAGATTCCATGTCCAGAGATCTTGCCACAGAATTGTGCTTCGAAATCTAAGTATTCACTGTTGTTTTTTTTAATTTTCTTGCTCTCACACCTGTGAATAAATCCTTAAGAACATTAACCCAATGTAAATAAATATTTATATCTCTTCCTGAGTCTGCAGATAACCTGTAGGTAACAATAGCTGTGGGAGATGTGAACTGTTGCCATCTTTCTCAAAGGGTTATTAACTCTGAAACCTAAAGATCAGGGTATGACAGAGAACACAGACATAGACACAAGAATGAACTTAAACCAGCAGGTGGTCATTTATTAAATTGAACAGTAAGTGGGGGCTGACCAGGTGTTAATTGAGTCCCATGAGAGGTTAAATGGGTTCATGCTATATAACTAAGGAATTAGGGTTGGTCTCCTTAATCATGAGTTTGGCTCAGAGCATTGCTGAATCCCACCACCATCATTGTGAGTGGGAAGGAGGGAAGATGAGGATAGTTCACGGTCCACCACTACCTCCTGGCTTCTGTACTCAGGTTTTTCACAGGAGCTGGACCCCTGAAGCCTATTACTCACACTAGACACCAGCTGCAAGTGGTACCTATATTGGACTTTCAGTTACCTCCACCCCTGCAAGTGATGCCCCTTACCTTTGTCTCCACCTACCACACCTCCAGGATGCTGTGATAAAAGCAGTAATAACAAAACAAAAACCCACCATCCAACACCAGTCTTGCTCAGAGGGAAAAATTCCTTTCTGATCCTAAGGAAGGATCGGGGGTTCTCATCAGACCTCCAGCAAGCCTGGAAAGGCAGCTGTGATACACCTACACCTCCTACAGGACCGGGTGGGTGGGGAAACATCCGGGGGCAGGAATGGGTGCCTAGGTACTTGGAATGCTTAAATAGAGAGGGGATGGGAGATTTGGTGGAGCCAATCAGCTCCTTCATGTACCACTGAATTTACCAGTGGGTGACCAGGAGAGGAGACTCCAGCCTCCCCCCACCCTTACCCACGAATGATCCCCACGTGCATTGTGGGCAGGTGAGAAGGAGAGGGAACCTAGGTACCAGAGGTCACACACCCTCCCTCTGAACCAAACACCCAGGATGGCCACTCCCCTGCCGGTCTGATCAAACACACCCCTGCTGAAATAGAAGGGATATTTTAGAGGCACAAGCAGCTAATGTGCTTATCACACAATCCAATGTGCCTCCCATGTCCATCTCCTCAGGTCCAAAAATCTTAATTGCCTTTGTACTCAGCACCTAAAGCCCCCAGCCTTCTCCCTGACAACTTCTCTGTTGCATTTACATGTTGTCAATAAAAAAAGAACTTTGGTGTGCATCAAAAACTGAAAAAGTGGGGGAGTATAAAATAAATAAAACAAAATTGTACCGATTGTTTTATTAATTTTCACACCCAATTAAATTAAAACCTCCATTGTTTTAAACGCAAAAGGTGTTCTCAATAGCCTGTTAGACTAGAAGAACAGATAAATAAGGAGCATTACAACAGAATTTAGTACCGACTTTCTGTGGAGTACATAGATCATACCTTGCATGCATTCAAATATTTCACAATAAAACTATTACTGTTCTAGATATTTTTAATGACTAATATTTCTTACAAATCTGTCTCCCCCCCCCACCCCCATAAATGCATAGTTGATATCACACTGCCATCTGGTGACAAGTACAGCAATGGAGATATAATTAGGAACAGGGAATCTGAGTATTTGAAATCATGCTATAAAAATAAAATTTCACTTAGAAAGCAAAGTCTTTTTCTTGTTTGTATTTGCTTAGCACCCAAAATCAAGTATATATTACATGGTACTATCATAAATTAAGATGTTAACAGTCCTGTTTGAAATGCCAATTCCTGTGTTTTACTAAATTTAATATGAGAACTGTATAAACTTGTTTCAAGTTGAAAATTTGGAATGAAAAGCTCCTAGTGTAACTGTGGAAGGAGGAGTCTGCCAGTGTGGTGCTTCTCTTCCAAAGACCAATTCAGCCTTAACTTCTGACTTTAGTTTTTGCTAGTTTGCATCAGAACCTTAATGTTCTTTTAAAGTGTGTTGTGTATGCCTCTGTCCTGCTGGTGTCCTGGCTAGGTAAAATTACAGCGAGAGATGTATATGTTGAAAAAAAGGAGAAATTACTGCAATGAGAAAATGCCCAGGCTGATCATACAAATTATCCAGTAGAAATGGACTATAGCGCATATTCACACAGGGTCATATTTTTCCTTTTCTGCACAAAAGCTATGGGAAGTTACATGTTGTAAGGATCACAAAGCCACAGCATGTTCCAGGAGTGCCCTGGCGTGCCCCCAATATGCTGCCTCCATGGAAGGGGTGGCATAGAGCTCTAGCTCTGTGACAGCTGAAAATGCCCCACTTCCAGATAACTCCTCAGTTGCTTATTTAAGACAATGTTAAGTCCCCTTTGTCCTCCTACAGCAGCACAAAGTGGATTCAGTATGGGCCAGGATCTGACCTCTGATATTCTAATTGTGTCTGTATCGTAATCTGGCAGCAAGATTGACAAATAAGCTTCTGAAGCCCATCTTTTCTCTGATGAGACAGATGTTTACTTATTACAACCTATTTAAGATGTTTTAAAATTGTTGATGTAATTATAGTCTTCAAGGAGTTAATCACTTTTGTAATTCTATGAATTCCTAAACAATTCTTGTTTCCTGTTACACTTTTAAAGTGCACAAATATTTCTACTCTATCGAATATCTTTGTTAGAACTGATTGACTAATGCAAATGCCCTATTTTGAATAGTTGTTTGGGTCAACCATGTTAGTATATTTTTATTGTTTGCTTCTCTGTGGGCATATGTCTGAATGTTTTTTGGGGTTGTGAGTGGCTGTTCTGGGCGTGAATACTTGAAGTTACATGTGAACAAGTGTGCTGTGTATGAATATGGGTATCCACTATTCACACCAGTAATGTTTCCTCTCTGTTTATAAAGTTTCAGTTAGCCAATCAAGGAGCAGAAACCATACCATTTGACTTAGGTAGCCAATAGCACACCACAAATAACAAAGACATAGTGGATAATATAAGAACCCTCTATGGATTGTTATCTGTTCTCATAATGTATGTTGAAAAATTACAAATAATATTAGTAAAAGCTTATCCATTCACAAGTAAGTCACAAAGCAAAAAAGGGCTAAATACATTGGATACCTTTTTGCTAATACAGTGCACCTAGCTTTCCCCCCAAATAAAGTCTCCTAGATCTTTAAGAAGTTGTGCTGGATGGAGAACCTGCTGTTTATACATATTCACCTTTATTTTGAATTGCAATCAGTATTCAGCGAGCATGGCGCAAATATCTGCAGCATCAGGATTTGCCGCACCAGGACCACCTGGAGAAGCGCAGTCCATCACCACCTTCCTTGTCATCTGACAAAATGAGCAGTTCAATCAGCATGAACACTTTTTCTGATGACAGCACTCCTGTAAGTACAGTTTCTCTCTACAACTACTACTTTGCTGGGTTCACCAGTAGGCATTGATATAAATGAACTATTCATGTCAGGTGGGGGGAATTTAGGATTAAGCTTTTGACTAATTACAAAGTAAAATCTTTTAGAGTGACTGAATTTCATGGTTTCTCAAACATGCATTAAGGCAAAAGTGTTTAAACAAGTAAGATTGCAACTGTGCATCAGACCTTTTTTCCCTGAGTCACACAGAACAATATTGATTGCTAAACATTTTAGGTGATGATAACAGCCACTGAAGGACAGATTTTCATTGATATTTTGTTCTCCTGAAAAAAGTATGGATCCTTAGTTAAGCATATCCTCAGAGTTTTGTGTTTGTGTTCTCTGGGAGAAGGTGGGGAAACTTGGTGCTGTTCTGCAATATGAATGTGATTCCCATGCTGCTCTCTAAAAGAGGTATATAAGCCAATTTAATGATCATAAATTATAACTGGCTTCGGAAGGAATATTTGAGCCTCTTCAGGGGAGATTTTACCCACTGGGTTTACCACATTTTCTAAAATGTGGTAAATCAGAGAACCAAATGCAATATCTAGCACTCAGGAACATTATGAAGATTGTGACCATCTCTGGAACTCTTTGGATCTAAAAATAAATGAATCAATCATACTGATCTATAACCTGTTTCAAATCTGTGACAGATTACATTGATTTTGTTATAACTTTTACTTAACTGATTCAGATTGAAAACACAAAAAATACAAATAGGTTCCAAAAACATGCAGGAGATTGTAACCTATCCTGCCATGCCAGGCCTTTCAAATAGATCAAGCCAGGGGGCATTCTAGCTTTTGGCTGTAGTGTTGTCCCCTAAATAGTGGAAAGTATATATTGGTCAGGTACATTGTATATTGCTTATCGGGTCAGTAGGAACAGTAATTGGTGACCTCGAAATTCACTAACAGACTGGAAAAACAGTTCTTGCATATCACAAGTAGATGGAAGATACTTAGCCATACTCCGTACTTATATGTGAATTGATACTTGTAAGTTTAACCATGACTAGATTTGGTAAAAATTTAAGTCAGGAAATCGATTTATATTCAGGTCTCCAAGACTCTGAAAATCAAGCAACAGAATTTCGTATAATCTGCTCCCTTTTGCACAGAAACAACAAAATACTATAGTATTAAGCACACAGCTCTTCTGAAGGGCCCTTTTTAGCCCATCAACTACATTATCCAGATAAACTTAAACTAAATAAACTGTTTCCCCTAGCCATTGTCTTCTGTGACACCATAGTGGGTTAGGCTATTTTAAACTTGACAGTGTTCAATAAAATATTACTGTTTTATTTTTGGATGTTTTCTATTCATACCTAAAGGCCACTTTCTTAGTATGAAACCATACTGCAATATTGAGTTCTGAATGTAATATAATATGCACTAAATAGGTTATTATCCCCTAATAGATAAAACAAATGTAGATCTAGTTTGTGAGACACTAGAACTTCATTGGATATTTTATATAGCCGTTTCTTGATCATGCTTTACTATTTGCTGAAATACCACAAGATGGCTCTCTTCTTCCACACAGGAAAATTTTTTTTTTTTTTGGTTTAAGCGAGGGCTTGAGTGATTTCAAAGATAATTCATTTTGCAGTGTGGGTGGAGGGAGGGAACTTAATCTGGAAAACTTCTTGTATTGCTTTCACTTCTTTCAACAAAATTAGCACATTTTGAATTTTATTATTTTATGTGGAAAATGAAGCATGGATACTAGTGTTGCTTTTGGGGGTTTTGTTTTTTTTAAAGAAACGCTCACTTCAGGAATTCCAGTCCTCTGTAAACTTGCCAAAGTTAGAATAAAGAAAGAGCAATAATTTTCCTTGACTTTTGATAATGCTAAGGCTCTTCTATTGTCTCCCTTTAAAAAAACGGAATCTGTTTTCTGAAGGTGAAGGACTAGCTGTCTATCTTAGGTATAGTACTTATAAGGATCCAATTACCAAAGCATTTGAGCATCTCACAATCTATTAAAATAGTTATCCTATGAGGTAATAAAATGTTGTTAAAGAAACTGTCAAGGAAAGGGGAAGATTCAGGCTGAGAGCAGTCACTATATTTTAAAACGTATTAGTTTATTTTTGACTTCCCCCTTTCTCATCTTACCTATTTCCCTTTTTTTGCACCCCCTGTTGAAAATCAGACATGAAAGAGAGCAGGAAAGAAATATAAAAAGAACTGAAAAATGTGGAGGGTAACAGTCTGGTGAAAAGGCTACCTAAGTGGGGGGGGAACCCAAACAAAGAAACCACACACACACAACTGGTCAGAACCTAAGATGTGCATTTGAGATGGATTGGCCAGGCGTTGCCCCATATACACAGTACATATTGCAAAGTGATGTATCCAAAATGTGCATAAACTGAGTGAGGATGACTAACACTTGTTGAACCTCAAGTTCAGATAGTAGTTGGAATTTATAATTTGAATTCTCTGGATTCATCAAATATGATACTTCCTTCTTTTGGTCATAGTTATGGCCATAGGAATACAGAAATACAAAGCAATAATTAAAAAGAATCATTAAGAAGTTATGGGAATTTTGAGGCAAAATGATCAGATTAATTTCTTCCTCTAAACCAGCTGCTCTAATTTACTGGGTTGAAATTCTCTTCAGTCAATCATATCACAACTTTTATTTCTAGTGGGTTTTTATAAGGTGTTTTTTTTTTTTTAAGACTATTTGGTTTTCATAAGCTTAGGAAAGCCAGTAAAATTGAATTTGCCGGAGGGCAGTATGATGTGCCTGACATGTAATCAATCATTTGATCACTACTTATTGATCTATGGTGATGTGAACCCTCCTTAACTGGATTCTGATCGTGAACTATTCATATGTATAGGGCTTCAGCGAGCTGTGGCTTAGCCTAGTTTGCTGCGGATAACCATATTACATTTTGTCTCTGAATTGAATCTGTGTCACTCTGAATCTCAGCAGCTTGACAAACCATTGATTAAAATGCCTTTAGTTCTATGCAGTGGCACTTGTTTTGGACCAGCTACCTGCATTCATGTATTCAGAAAACGCTTGCTTTTAAAGTGAAGCACTGATATGAAACTCATGCTATAGAAAGGGAGCTATTAGACGGAGGAGGAAACTCACAATCTTTGAAGAAAGAACAGGAGTACTTGTGGCACCATAGAGACTAACAAAGTTAGAAACATAACTTTATTATCACTGCTCTTCCCAGGTACATGTGTTTATTTATTTGTTTGAGAAAAATGTATATAAAAACTGTGTGCGCTGACTGCATCCTCCAGCCTTCATACCTTGCATGTCTTCTTCAATACATTATTTAAGAAAGTATCCACAGTGGGCAGTGAGCTGGCTATACATGCAGAAGACACTATGTCCCTGATGTTAAACAAATAATACTCTTCCTCCTCACTAAGCCAGTCAGCAGGCTTTGTTTATATGGCCTTTTGCCACTGGAGACAGGCTACTTGTCTCAATGGCATTTCAATACCATTGCCTCCAGGTGTGCCCTCTCCTTCTTTTGGCTGGCTTGTAGGAAGCAGATGGTGCTAAAGGCCCCCATTTATTTTTTTGGACTGCTGCCATCTTTGTCCTCATTTCTTTTGGGACCAGGGCTGGCTAGAATGACAATTAATGAAAGTAAAGGCTTACCTCTAGGGTTTAAGAGTTTTAGTCACAATAACTTTAGTTAAAACTTAAAGATTATAGGTAGTCAGATCCAACCTTTCTGCACTTCTTGTAATTAAAGACTGCACATTTTAATGAAATTGGGTATGCAATGTACTTCAAACTTTGCAGGTTATTTACTCCTTCATACAAAACATATGTGAATGGTGCACATGCATTATGAAGAGAGGCTATGTTAACATTTTCTGGCACGCAATGATTGTGAAATCACAAACTATCTAACTCATAGTTCTTGGATCTATGCAAACAGATATAGTGTGAATGATTTATGAGGCTTGATACAGAAATATTTGAACAGTTTCCTATGTATTGGAATTTTTTATATTTAGTAGTATACTTTGTAGTATAATGCCCTCCCCCATCAAGAAATCTACTTAATTGGGACCCCCCCATCAAATCTACAAGTTTAATTTTAAAATCTTACTATACATCCATTTGTCTCTAGACACAGCACAAAAGAACTGAATTTAAAACTTTTCACAGTGGAAAGCAACAATAATCTTCTATCAACCATACACCCCAAAAAGGAACATATTAGAAGTGTATGAAAAGAAAATATTTCCATAATTTAGCAGCCTGTCAGGAAAAGGATTGCCACCCCTGCCCCGCCAACCAAAAGAAAGAGAGAGAAAGAACATTATGCTTGTTCTGAGGGCTAACAGTCTCTGGCAGGCCTGATTTAAACCTAATGATGATAAATGGTAATGACTGCTGCTTAAATAGAATGATAATTCTACTTAATTGGAATGCCTTCAAGTGACACGCATGCTATGCCAGGGCTGCCAAGCGGGGCACCCCTCAGCTGGAGATGGGCAAGCAACAAGCCTCCATGAGATGGTCCAGCAATGTCAGCCTTATTGCAGCTCTGCGTAATCTCCCCAAACCACAACTTTTACTGTTATAATAGATTCTGTTGATTTGAGGTTGGCACTTTATTTAGGAGGAAAAGCCATCTGCAGTGGGTCTCTCCATTAGGCAGTATCTATATTAAGGACCAAATTCAGCCATTCCAAGTAATTCTGGTTTACGACCATGGTTCTGATTCCAGCTATTGTAGGAAAATAAATGTACTTCAGAATTCTTAAAAAATCAGACCCGTTTCAAAACCTCCATTGCATGGCTAAGATCTTAGTGATGTAATCACTGGACTTTGGCTCATTTCTGTCCTTTGCATTTACGGAACATTACATCATATTTACAGCAGAACTTCCATACAGGAGAATGCATGCTTTAACTTTACACTGCATTTGCATTTTTCAAAGAAAAACCTTAAACTACTGAAA